CCCCTCTTTCACTCACCAGTAGACTGAAGTGGTCAACAACAAGCTTACATGTCTGCTCACGTGCTCCCTTTGAGTTTCAGTAGGGGGAGGGTGTCAGTTTTTTTCTTTTAGAGTTTTGTGCATTCCTCCCCATTGCCTTCTTGCCTGCATGGGTTCTGCTGAGAAATCAGAGATTAATCTTACTGGTTTTCCTTTGTAGATAACATTTCATTTTTCTCACACTGCTTTCAGGATTCTTTTCATGTATTTGGAGAGTTGATTATGATATGTCTTGGTGATTTTCCTTTGGGGTCTACCCTGCCTGGGGTTTGTTCAGTTTCTTGAATGTTTATCTCCTCATCTTTCAAGATGTTAGGAAAATATTCTTAGATGATCTTTTTTAAATGGTTTTCTTTGTTTCTTCCTGTTCTGGAATTCCATCACCCATAAGTTATTCCTCTTCATGTTGTCTCACATGAATCTTGGTTTTCTTCAGATTTTTCTCTCTTTTTTTCTGATTGTTCTTCTATGTTATTTTATTTTTTTTACTTTTGAGAGCAATTTGTTTTTTAAACTTTGTGGTCTGGGAACAGCATCTTTACAAGTGACAAACAAGCTGAGACTTATAGGATGAGTAGGAATGAGTCAAAATGGAAATGGAAATCACATGCCAGACAGAGGAAACAAGAAAGGTCTTCAAAAGGTTTGTGGGAAAATGGAATTAAAAGGTAATAGAATTTTCCCACAAGGTTTGAAGCCTCATCATATATAAAGAAAGTCACAAATAAAGAAAGAACTCTTGGTGGGTATCAGGGGCTGAAAATCAACTAGTAGGCATAATCTTAGAAAGACAGGGGAAGTAAGGTACAAAAGGATATGAAGAAGGTAGCAGAAGAAAGATCCAAGAGAGCCAGTAGAGAACATGGTAAAGATACTTCTTCAAAGAGCAAAGGGAAACCAGAGCAACTGTGGGAGACAGTTTATGCAGGGGAGGGAAACAATCAGGTGCAAAGTTGTAAAAGATCGATCTGTGAAGAAAGCTTAAATGGGTGAGGACATAGAAGCAGAAGTCAGACAGGAACCCCCTGAGATGTCTGTGTGAGAAATGTCAGCAATAGAAATGGAAATAACAGATCTGAGAATTTTTTAAGAGAGAAAATAGATGCAGGTGATGGACTGGATGTGGAAAATGAGGGAGAAAATAATGTAAAGATTGACTTCTAGGTACATTGAGTTGGAGAACACTAGAGAGCTGACAATTTAACTTTTGTTTTCCATGTCGTTTGAAGTGCCTCTCTAAAAGATATTTGAATACAGGTGTCAAGAAGACAGTTGAATATTGAAACAGAAAAGACACGTACAGTTTCAAGATAGAAACCTAAGAGTTAATGGCATACAGATATTTTAATAACCTTGGGAGACTTTTCAACAATTGGTAGTAGAGCAGTTGAACATCTACAGGCAAAATAAAATAAACTTTGATCTAATTTCACACAATATTCAAAAAATCATCTCAAACTAATTTAAAGACTTAAATGTAAAACAATAAAACTATTCCCCCTCTCTAAAAAAGGGAGGAGGGTAGATCGTCGTTGTGGAGTCCTGGTATGGCACTGTGGGTTAATGCATTGGACTGCAAAGTTGGTTTGAACTACAAAGTCGGTGGTTCAAACTCACCAGCTGCTCCTCAGAAAACCTATGTAGATTCCCTATGGGTCAGAACCGACTCAATGGCACTTGACAACATCCTGAGAGAACAGTTAGCACTACCTAAACAAATGGAAAATTATCCTTAAAAGAGGTGATGCAAAATACATTCTATGCCTTCCTTTTCCTTTAAGATCTGAAGACCACTGTGCAAAAGACTATCAGGATCAACCTTCTGTAGCCTAACATGACAATCATATAAACTGTTATTTATAAATTCCACTGAATAAATCCCTGCTTTATAACTAACTCTGGGATATGTATATGTCCCTGAGCTCTTTCCTAAGTCTGTCTGAAACTTGCACTGACCCAGACACTGCACCATTTAGATGGTCTTGCCTTTGAGTCTTCCTAATTTTTTCTAATATTGCCAAATTTTCTTTTCTAATTCCTTCATCTTCTGTCTTTTTTCCACTAATAGGCTCTTCTTCCTTCATCTTATGTGATCCAAGTCTTCTATATCTTCAGCTATCTCTTCCTCCTCCTCTTCATCAGAAGTCACGTCTTCTGTTGTCCCATTCTGACCTGTGGGGAGTGGTTGATCTAGCATCTCAACATCCAGGTACTTAGGAAGGTTATATAATGTGCAGAGTTCACATATCAACCACTTCTATTGCTGATGAAGCGAATTGCTGTTTTTAGTATCTTCAAGACGTTCCAGAATTGATGTCAGATTTGGATCATCAGATTCCACAAAGCATAGTGGTAAAGACGATGGGTAAGATTCCATTATGGTTCAGCCAGGATGGTGGAAGTCATGGGTGTGGGTGTGATCACTGAGTCACAGAGGAAGGGAAGGCAGCCTGGGCCATGGAAGGGACCCTAATCATCTCAGTTCTCTAGTGCTGTTATAATAGGAATACTACATGTGGCTGGATTTAACAAACAGAAATGTATTTCCTCAGTTTGGTGGTGGTGGTTATGAGCCGTGGAGTCGGTTCCAACTCATAGTCACCCTATACAGGGTTCCCGAGGCTGTAAATCTTTATGGGAGCAGAAAGCCTAGTCTTTCTCCTGTGGAACAGCTGGTAGTTTCTCACAGTTTAGGAGGCTAGAAATCCAAATTCAGGGTGCCAACTCTAAGGGAAGGCTTTCTCTCTCTGTTGACTCTGGAGGAAGTCCTCTTCTATTTTAGCAGTATTGATTTATCTTCATGCTCACTAATTCTGGCCTCATTGATTCATTTCTACTCCATCCCCTTTCAGTGTGTTGTCCATTTCTTACATTTCAGTATTGATCATCTATCCTCTGTTTATAGGTTTTGTATTGTTTCTAGTGCTATATCTATTTTGTTTGATCGTTCCTGTAGCACATTTCTAAATTCTTATTTTTCTCCATCTTTCTGTAGAACATTTGGATGTACATCAATATCATTTTCTTGAATTATTTTTCAGGTAGTTCCAGTGACTCTTCTTCCTCAAAATCATTTGCTAGCTCTTCTTATTGGTCATTTATTTGAGCTACTCTTGTTTCTACATGAGAGAAGAAACTTTCTGCTGCTTTTTAGCCATTGTGCTGTTGTTGCATTTGTATTAAGTTGGTGTACTAATAATTGAAACCAACAGGGTCTTTGTTGAGGTCATAGACCTGTTATAATAACTAATGGAAGAAATGTCCTATATTCTTGCTTCCAGATCAGTGGAATAATGATTATTGAAGTATGTAAGCAAGTTGAGTAGAGAGTTTTCAGTTTCTTATAGCCCAAATCTTCTTAGCACATATATTTTAGCATTACTTTTATATTCATATAAAGGTAAGTAGTAAATGATAAATATAAGTGTAGAATGACAATTTATTACATCTTCCCAAAAATTCAGGAATAATTCTTACTTATAATTTTATTGATTAGGACTTATGTATTGTTCATTCATTTCGTTTGTATACTAAGGCAACTCACCTTTGATTCTAAGAAGTTTTTAATATATAAGAAACAATTTGGGCTATCATTTACAAAAATAACTGGTAAAATCAAGGGAAAATGAGACATTTGATTTTGAATTGAACACTTTATTGAAATGCACAATGAGCTCTGATTCTGAAAACATTCAATATATTTGATTTTTTAAAAAACATTTATTTATAAGTGCAGCAATTACACTAGCATTTTGAATCACTCCTAATTTTACTATTGTATGAGTTCCCATCAGTTTTTAGAAACTGGAATTTTCTATAAAGTACACACACTGGATTCATATCTGATTTTGATGCTACAATTTAAGATGATTAGATGTATACTCCAGGCTTCCTGGTGTTGTACCATACAATGGATTTGAGAAGGAGTATACAGAGCTCTAAAAAAGGAGAATACATTTAAAAGGTTAGTTTATTAGGCATTAAAATAAGTCTTCTTACAGGATTATGAAGAATGCAGCAAGCATTGAACACATTTCTATTGAAGTAATAAGTAGCAAGTCCCTGAGTCTCATTCTAGCACTTCAAACCACACCACTGCCTGAACCACAGATGAAAAGCCTAGTCTCTGTATATCCCAGAATCCTCTGGGCATAAGTGTCATTGTCACATCAACCACCTCTACTGGCATGGCCAACATCTAGACCACTCTTTCCGTAGCACTGGATTCCCTGAGCCTGCTCTACTGAATATAGCTTCTGCTTCTGATGCTACTGCATGCTGTTGAGTCAATTCCAACTCACAGCAATCCTGAAAAGGGTTTCCAAGACTACAAATCTTTATGAGAGCAGAAATTCTCACTTTCTCCCATGGAGTAACTGGTAGATTCAAACTGCTGACCCTGAAGTTAGCAGACCAATGTGTACCCCATTCTATTACCAGAGCTCCTTATTACTATTTTATAAGTAATAATAAGTACTACTTATTACTCCTTCTAACCAGGCTAAATTTTTAAAAAATACAAAAGAATAAAACAATCAGCGACTTTAAGTTAGTATATGTTATACACTATATCTTTGCTGCTGCGTATCATTGAATGAATCCTGACTTGCATTGGTGTTGCTTTTAAGCACCATTGAGTCAATTCTGACTCACAGTGACCCTGTACAGGGTTTCCAAGGAGCAGCTGGTGGGTTTGAACTGCTGACCTTGTGACTGGCAGTCCAGTATGGATCCTACAGCATCACTTAACATATAGAATCGCCTCATAGGGTCTCCAGGCTGTTATATTACAGTAGCAGATTGCTAGGCTTTTCTTTCCTGGAGTTGCTGGGTGGGTTCCAACTATCGACCATGTGGTTAGTAGTCAAGTGCTTAACCATTATGACACTGGGGATCCTTTAGAATATATTAGAAAATCTAAAGGGTAGAAATTTTTATAGGACAAACAATGTAGTTTCTTCAAAGAATAAATTGTAAGGAAAGACAAAAGAGAAAACGGAATTTAGAAATTGAAATAGATTTGAGAGGCATGTTTATAAAATTGGATGTAAATACATTACATGGATGCTGCTTTTAAAAAGTAAACAAACAAACAAATGACATTCCCTACTTATTTGAGAGACATTTGGGGTAGTTTGAACACAGACTGAATGATTAACAGCATTAAGGAATTCTTTTTAAAACATTAAGTTGTGACACCATAGTCATCATTTTTAAAGTACATATTTCTGGATGCACTAATGGGACTTCTAATTGCAAGTTCAGAAGTTCAAACCGAACAGATGACCCTCTGGAGAAAGATGAGACTTTTCTGATAACTGTAAAGATTTGCAGCCTCAGAAACCCTATATAGGGTTGCTATGAGTTGGAATCGACTCAATGACAGTGATTTGGGTTTGGATTTATCTTGTAAAAATACAAGAGAAGTTTTTTACAGTAGAAATTAAAATGGTATTAAAGATTTGCTTAAAACAATATGGTAGTTGAAGGGCGTACTTGACAGTAGAAATGAAACGGAATGGTCATGTGTTAATTGTTAAAGTTTCCTGATGGGTACACAGCATTTCATTATATAATCTCAATTTCTGTACAAGACAAATGAGAGCTTTCTATAAGACTTTGTAAAAATGGATTTCAGCTATTTCTATCTTTCTGTTATATTGTGAGATTAAAAATAATCAAGAAACTAGCAGATTAAATGTTTTGGCACACATAAAATCAAGCTCAAGATTTTTGCTAGAAATATGATTTTACTGTGATGTCAGGGAAGATAGATTAATTAGCACAAAGTAATTTGTTTCTGAAACAAAGTAAAGCAATAAATAGCAATAAAGGCCAGCATATGTGACAAAATTACTTCTCCAGTCATTCTTAATTAAAGGAGAAAGGAACGTGAAAGTGGAATATTTTTCTTTTATTAAAATATAAAATAGAGATAAATTGCTTCCAAGTTCTTTAGAATCATTGATTGATGCACAATGAACAACATTTTGATAGGCAGTCTTTGCTATGGATCTTCTCCGGGTATAGCGAAAACAAAAACTGATCTGAACACCAGAGAAACTGAATTCTCAGTAGAATATAAAAGACACAAAACTTCCTAGCAATATGTTAATGACTACAAGTTTGTTAGATATTAACATAAAATATCCCATCTAAAATGCCTTGGGTCATTTGCTTCATTCAGGCATTAAACGTTAAACCAAACTGAAAATAAAAGTTTCAATTTCTTTTCCTTAGTAAAAATAAAAATATGTTGCTATTACATTTTCCAACTTTGTAAAAAGAAACATGTTATCTTAACTATGTGTGCATTTATTTATTACCCAATGAGTAGAGCTACATTTTAGGCATCTTGATGGCACTGTAGGATAAGCAGTAGACTGCTAATCACAAGGCTGGCAGTTCAAATCCACCATCCACTCCAGGGGAGAAAAGATGAGTCTTTCTGCTCTGGTAAAGATTTACAGCCTCAGAAATCCTATACATAGTCGCTATGAGACAGAACCATCTCCATGGCAATGAGTTTGGTTTTTGGTTTGAGGGCTGCATTTAAATTTTTACTCTGTCTTGATTTGATGAATCATCCAAATCAATTCTCTTTGTGCTTTAATAGATATATTACTTTTTGTTTTTATTCCTACAAAACTATTTACTAAAAGTGTATGTAACATCATTATTGAAGAAAAAGAGAAATGAAAAAGACAAGAGGTGTGCTAGGCTTCAATCACATCACACAAGTCTCTTTAACTGTATCCACTTTGACATTTTGCTTATTTTCAATAATTACAAAACCATAAAAACTTTTCATGGCCTATTATCATTAAAAAGGCAATAAGGAAAATACTTCACATGTGCTTACTAAAAGCTCACTTTTCTAAGAGTATGACTTAGATTTAATGATTCTAAAATCAGATATAAGGAACTTTACGTATGAAAGTGGCGTGTCATGGCCAATCTTATTTTAGACCCAAGTGAATGTTCACGTTACTTACTTCCTAAAGAGATTTGAAAGATGTTCCTTGCCATTTGATCTCTAACATGCTTCATATTTTACTGATAAGAGGTAGAACCAACATAGGTCAAGAAAGGTGCAATAAACTCTAATTTCTCCTTTTCTTTTCTGTGTTATCAGTGAATGGTTTTTAACACCCACACACTTAAATTTATAGAAAACACAGAGCATTACTCTCCCTTTTGTCTTTTGAAATAAAAATGAAGAACATTAAATAGACATTTACTGTTAGTAGCTGACTAATACTCTGTGGGTTATACTGATGTTTTCCAGATTTGTCAGCTCTCTTTGAGTATGATCAGTGACCACAAAGCCATTTAACAGTGAAATGAAAATGTTCCGGAATGGAAAAGACTTATTTCATATTTAGACAGGCAGAAATCCATTCTACTCCCAACAGAAATAACTGTTAAAACATTTCCTTCAGTTGTGATGTGGAAGCATGCACAAATGACATCATGGTTTTGATTTGTGTGCATGTGTGTATATTTGTGTGTGTGTGTGTGTGTGTGTGCATTTTCACCACTGACACAATACAGCCCACCACTGCCTCTTACCTCTGTTTTCTCTGGGTTGTTCCAATTCCCATAAACTGGATTGATAAATGCACAGTTATCTCTTCCTTCAGTTTTCCTTAAAGCACAAAGACATACATACAACGTAAATATATTTATCTGGTAGAAACCATTGAGTGACCCATTGTCTATCTAGCCTGCAAACTTATTTTTATGGATGTATTACCAAAAGTAAAAAAATAAAATAATAATTTTTTTGAGGACACCAAGGCAACCACATTCTTGAAAGCAAATGAAATCTGAACTCTGAATAATTGGACACAAATAAACCCAGGCAAGTTAGACTTAAAATTGAGTTCTCAAAATATTACTCAACTTATGCAAAGGATACAACATTAGAAAGAACACTGTAAGATAAAGCTAAATTTGTTATAAGGAAAGACCATCTTTACGTTCCTTTAGACTGCAAATATGCCAAACCACCATAACCCTGAGGACTGTTTTCCGTGTCAGTCTCTGTAATAAAGATCTGTAGTACATGAGTCACAGTTTCAACAGCATTTAACATTTTAACAACAAACTTAAAAACTGGGTGTTTTGAAGGAATATTTTGTTGTTGTTGTTGTTGTTAAGTGTTGTTGCGTCGGTTCCAACTCATAGAAACCCTATATAAGATTTCTGAAGCTGTAAAACCTTTGTGGGAGCAGAAAGCCTCATTTCTCCAGGGGAACTACTGGTGGGCTTGAACCATCAACCTTACGTTTTGCAGTCCAGTGCTTATCCTGTTGAGCTTAGTGTTTTATTTCATGATAATCTTAAAGAGTTATATTATCCTTAGTGGTCTCATATATCAGCCTATATTTGCATAATTCCTTCTGATTAACTGGACTCTTAATTACCTAAGAGTCAATTGTTGTGGTTAAGTGTTGATGAGTTGATTCTGACTCATAGCAACCCTGTATAAGCTTGCTGAGGAGTAGCTGCTGGGTTTGAACCACTGACCTTGTAGTTAGCAGACCAGTGCTTATCCTACATTACCACATCAGGACTCCAAAGGGTGTGTCAGTGGTAACTTACTAGGTCAACCAGCCTTGAAACTATAGGTCACAACTGATAAAGAAAAGATACCACCATAGAAACAAAAGCTATGTATAGCTAATTAACAAAGTACAGCCTACTAAAGATACATGAAAGGATCTCATACAGGCCTACAAATATGCATATAGACACACACACACACACACACACACACCAGTACTATGAAAAATGTAAAAACAATTCCAGGATGAATTGCCAATGTCTTGTAGAGAACCAGGAAGTAAAACAATGAATGCGTATTGCTGATTATCATAGTATAATGACAACAAGTTTATCAATAATGTATCCCTAAGACCAAAAAGAAAAGGTTTGCTTTATGAGCAGAAATAGCCAGAAGCAAAACTTTTTATCATCTACCAATCCACATGATCCTTTTTCTAAGAAATAACAGTATTAGTGAGTCCCAATAGTCACATTGGTGTAATTGTGTTTGGGTATCAAAATATTCTCCCTGTGGATTCAGTGCCTTCAAAGCATCCTGACAACCAACACTTTATGAAATTGTTTAGCTATGTAGTGTCTTAAATATTCCATCATCATTGAGGCTACCTTTTACTTTTCTGATGAGTAGGGCCAAACGTAGCTATTTTATGTGTTATTATTTAGAAAGAAAAAAAATCACAGATAAACACTTAAATGATTAAGATACACATACCTGTTAATTCCTTAACCATTAATTCATTAGTTATGAGTTGCTGTAATTAAATTGATTGAATCATGTTTTATTTTTCTCCTTTACTGTCTCCAAGGCTGGTCTTACGTAAGCTTTCAGAGTTGTTGTTTTTAGGCGCTGTTGAGTTGATTCTGACTCATAGCGACCCTATGCACAACAGAAGAAAACACTGCACCTTCCTCACAATTGTTACACTTAAGACTATTGATGTTGCCACTGTGACAATCCATCGCATTGAAGGTCATCCTCTTTTTCGCTGACCCTTCACTTTACCAAGCATGATGTTCTTTTCCAGGTACTAATCCCTCCTGACAACATGTGTGAAGTGTGAGAGATGATGTCTCACCATCCTGTCTTCTAAAGAGCATTCTGACTGTATTTCTTCCAACACAGATTTGTTTGTTCTTCTGGCAGTCCATGGTACTTTCAATATTATTCTCCAACATACCTCAAATGCATCAATCTTTCTATAGCCTTGGTCTTCCTTATTCACAGTCTTTCACAGGCATATGAGGCAAGTGAAAATACCATGGCATAGGTCAGGCACACCTTGGTCCTCAAAGTGGCAGTTTTGCCTTACTCTTGGATGCTTTAAAAAGGTCTTGTGCAGCAAGCAGTAAGATCACTGATGGCATGATTAGGGCATGAGGTTATAAGGACTGCTTTTAAGGTTGAGACTACACTTAAAGTTGAGTGAAGGGCATTTTTAGATTGTGTCAAAATGCTAGGACCAAGTGTGTACATTTAGAGTAAACATGGAGCTATAAAGTATCAAAACAGAATGAGAGTTAGGAACCCTATTAAAGATGGGATAGTCAGAGATACCAACTGCTCACAAAAATTAATCTAAGTTGACACTGGGCATGAAATCAAGCAGCAAGAAAGAAAAAACCTAGAACACAGATTCAGATAGGACAGATCGTCTCCAGACTGGGCACACACCCAGAATTAGAAGGGAGAGGTTTGGTGGTCAGTTGCATAGATGCAAGGCACAGGCAACACAAAAGATCTCAAAACATTTTTTGTTGTTTGGTTTCAGGCTGCTGGGCCCCGAGTTGATCCATATCAAGATGGTCAGTCAGAAATCAGGTAAATTGATAAAAAATTTCCAGTCCTATTAATTCAGCTACTGAAGCTACTTTTCTTCTAAAAGGATTTTAAATATTAAATAATTTTCCAATGAAACAAAAACAAAAATTGAAGATGGCTAGCCTTCTGGGATTCGGTGACTTACACAGAAGGTGATACTTGAGGATAAAGACATGGAGTTATAAAGAGCCAGGGAAGTTCACAGGTAGGGGACGGGAAGGTAAGCACTAATAAATTCCTGCTTACTGCACATTTGTCTCTTGGGAGTCTCAAACTACTTTTCTTTTTCCCAGTCAAAAACCCTTCTCCCGGGCATATGCCAAGAACACCCACACTTGCAGATAATACCCACTTGACCTGGCTTCAATGGCTGGATGATTGGAGCTCAACCAGAAGAAGAAAGAAGAGGAAATAAAGAGTAATCTGATATAATTTGATGAACTTGACCTACACCTATGGATGCAGTAGTTCAAAAGAGGGAACAAGTCCTTACAGCAAGGATCATTCCCACCCCCTCCACACACAGAGTAGACTTGGACATTGGCTACCCAAAATGGTGGGAGGAGCTACAAAGACAAGAAGTGACTGGCTTACAAGCTTTCAGGAGGGAACCTAGAGCCAGAGGGCCAGGAGGAAGGCAGAATCTCCAGTGAGTAGTATCCAATCTGTCTAGGCGGGGCTGATGAAATGAAATGCAGATAGATCTCTTGTGATACAATAGTGAATAATTGTTATCAGGACTGATTGTGAGGGTCGGAAATGTAAAGGTAGACGTTTTATAGCAAGGAAGGGAGTAATTAACTTTCCAGTCTAGGAGCGCAGGTTGCTAGGACAATCAACGGAGCGGAGAGTGGGACCCTACCCAGAGAAGCAGTGATGTCTGAGATGGAGGCAGAGAAGATGACGTGGAGTGATGGAGCAGCTGGGGACTTTAGATCCAGAGAGGGAGAAAGACTGTGTGCTGAAGACCTGGGGGAGGTGTGTGTGTGTGTGGGGGGGGGCAGGCTTGCAGGGTATACCCTTTGGTTGGTTGATGATGCATGGAGGGGATTGTAACCATGGCAATGAAATGATATATGATAGAATTAATATAAAACTAATGTTCTCCCATGTAAACTATCGCATAATTCACAATAAAACATTAAAAAACAAACACCCTTCTCCCATTCATGGGAACAACTAGATTGAAAGGTTTATTTCCTAATATCTTTCCTATTTGACAAGTAAATTATCACATTTCTCTTAGAGACACATTAAGTACATTTCTAGGGTCACCTCTATGCAATGACATTTCAAGTTCTCTGATAACGATTTTCCATTTTACTTCATTAATCATTAGTTTGCTATTCAAATACAAACTGATTTTACTTAAAATGATGGCTCTACATATTATGAAACCCAAATTTGTTTTAAAATGAGCAAGTTTTACTGAATGATTATGAAGGTTTCTGTCAGCTCTATGAAATAATACAATGATATGTTTCAATTATGTTTAAAAAATGCTAAGTTTAACTTAGCCTATTTGTAAACAGGCAAATAATCTTGAGAGTTGAGATTCCAAAAAATACACTCATCACTTGTTGTTGTTGTTAAGTGCCGTCGAGTCGGTTCCGACCCATAGTGACCCTGTATAGGGTTTCCGAGGGTGTAAATCCTTACGGGAGTAGAAAGCCTCATCTTTCTCCCGCGGAGCAGCTGGTAGTTTCGAATCGCTGACCTTAAGGTTCGCAGCCCGATTCGTAACCACTAAGCTAGTCAGCTAATAATTGACTTAATACAAGTCCTGAGTGGAAGCTACTTAGAATTGCATGGATTTTCTCTCCCCATAGAGTCTCATGCATACATTTAACAAATAATGCAGCTGCAGTGCTGAGTCAGAAACAACTTGATGGCACTTAACTACAACAACATCCAATACCTGTTAAGCCCTCAATGCTCACAGACACTGTACTAGATGGGAGTCTAAGATATGTGTCAGTGTAGATCTGGGAAAATTCTGACTGGAATATGCCCATTTTAATTCAGTGAGCATATGTATACTTCCTGGTGGGCCGCTGTGGGTTAACGCACCAGATTGTAAAGCCATTTGAACTGCGAGGTTGGCGGTTCAAGCTCACCAGCTGCTCCTCGGAAACACTGTACAGGGTCGCTATTGGTCGTAACTGACTCAATGGCACTTAACAACAACAACAACAACAACAACAACAAAGAAATTCAAGGAGCCCTGGTCATGCTGCGAGTTAAGCATTAGACTTCTA